ATACAATTTAATTGTATGTATTATGGGTAGAGACCGATGACATCATACGAGCAGTTTCTGATAAGAATCAATATAAATATCTATTATATTTGTATGTACAAAACTCAAATATAATATTCTTTGATTTATATCGAAGTAGACTGTTGGTCTCGTTGGTTAATTCGTTGCTAAAGATGATGTCGTTGTTTCAATATTACAGGCGCCTGAAAGGTTTTGGTCTAACCGACGACGATTTGAATGTTATATTGGAGAAGGGCTTCGACGAGCTGCAGCAGAACTATGAGAAGGCCTCGAATCAGCCGCATCGCAACGAGGCACTGTGGCTGATCAAGGAAGCCAAGCGACAGGATGCCGAGGAGATGCTCAGTGGAGCGCCCACGGGCACATTCCTGATACGAGCTCGAGACGCGGGCCACTATGCGCTATCCATAGTCTGCAAATCGGTTATACATCACTGTATTATCTATGAGACGGAGAGCGGGCTGGGCTTTGCGGCGCCGTACAACATCTATCCCACGCTAAAGAAGCTGGTCGACCACTATGCCACCAACTCGCTGGAGGAGCACAATGACAAGCTGACCACTGTGTTGCGCATACCCGTGCGATATTGGTTGCAGAACAAGCAGCAGCTAATGGAGCAGCTGCAGGAGGAGCTGGAGTTGGAGCAGGAGCAGGAGCGCTTGGCCCAAGAGGCGGCTCTGATGCCACCGCCGCTGCCACCACAAGCGACGGCAAGCAGCGCACCAATACCCACAACCAGATCCAGGGAACATCGTGGCCATGATTCAATTGATGCAGCATTTAGTATTGAGACGGAAACACCGCCAGCTTCCATATCGCCATCAAATTTTAGTACATCGCAATAGGCAAACACGCACACAATCTCTCTCACACACATACCCTCACATACATGTCCGCACACACACACACATACGAGTACCCAATCTCCTACTCACAGACATACACAATGGCCAATGGCTAGGTAACTCTCATAGATATCCAGACCTGCAGCAACGCCCCTTCCCCCCAAATATGTATATCTCTCTTAACTATTATAATATTTAAAGAAAAAGTGTCGTTCACACTGTAAAGCGAAAAAACAAGTAATTTGGTGATTCATGTTGATGTTCAAATATCTCTGTATATATATATACATATATACTATATGCTATATATACGTATGTATATGTATATGTAACTATGTACGTATTTCTGTCATTGTTTTTGCATTTTGCTTGATTACAAGTGATAAAAGAAAAAGAAGTTAAAAAGGTCAAGCCAATTGCTATGTGAGTTTTGTTGGTACGTAAGCCACAATCTATATACATATATATAAAACTTAAATTAAGAAGCTATAATTATATACATATGCATATTTATCAATATATATATATATATATTGGTTTTTAGCTCGCACGCTGCGCGTTATCGAGTCATAAAAGCCAATTTGAACAGTTAAAAAATCATCTTAAAATACAAGTTCTTTGTAAATAAAAACACATATATACGATATGTATGTATATATATAGCTTCACTTTGAAAATTGTTTGAATTGTTTTGTGCTGCATTTTGATAATACAGCTGGCAAAACGAAAACAATTCGACCACCAAATTATTTGTTGTTAAAAAGAGTCTTAAATGATTTTGAATTAGTTATTAAGTACAATTTACGAAATATGTACGTTTATGCGCGATCAGTGATCAGCGGTCAAGCTGTAGTTCTATAACAATTTTTGTTTGTTTCTATTTTTTTACAATATTAAGCTTAGTGTTTCTAAATACCTTAAAAGCAACAACAATTACACACACACACACACACACACACACACAGCAACAGCAACAAAAGTGCAATTGGCAAAACGAAACAAAACAAGAAAGAAAAAAAAAGAAAAAGCAAAAATGAAACTTTTTACATTTGTTAAAAATTTATGCTCTATAAAAAAAGACAAAAAAAAAAGCAAAAAAAAATTATATATATATATACATACTTATATATATATACATATATGGAATCTGCTGCAATATGCAATAAACAAAAGAAGCTTCAGTTCAGTTAAGTTGATAAATTAAACCAATAATATATGCCCACCTGCTAAGAGGTTTTTTATATGTTCTTCTACGAAAAGGCCTAACAAAAAACTAACATTTAATATTTGATAAGTTTTGTGCAATTTGTGTTTATTGAAAGAGCAACAAGAAAATAATAATATTAACAATTATGGAACAATGTATAAAGAGTATGCAAAGGGCAAACAGAATTCGCTAAAAAAATTTCCCTTTTTATGCACCAACACACAAACAACAACAGCAACACTCAATGTTTTTTTTTTTTTATAATTTCTGTAATGTTAATGTAAATCTTAATTTAATATATATATATAAATATTTAACTTGTAATATCTATAATTTCACGTGTTTATACTTTATATATATCAACTAATTAGTTATATATATAAACATATTTTTTATTTTCTATTTGCTATGAGATTTCGTTGGATCTCGTACGTTTTGTAGTATTTTATAAGTTTTAAACATTTAGTGTGTAAAAAAGAAAAAAAAATATGCGAAGAAACAACTAAAGTTGCAGATTTTTTGAGTTTTGTTAATGAATTTTTTTCAGCCATACTTCAATGAATGAGAAACAAAACAAAATTAAATATATGTATGACGATCGATATATGATAACAAATTACAAATTTGTTATATTTTTTATATGAAATATATATATATAATATATATATATAGTTAGATATGTGTGTATATGCTATATGTTGTAGTTCTTAAGCGCTAACCTGCCACAAATTGGTTCAAAAAACAAAGTGTTTTTTTGTAGTAGATTTTAAAGAATTGAAAGAAAAACTGAGAAAAATTAAAAATATTTGTATCTATTTGTATTTTGTGTCTAAAAAGCAAACAGCAAGAAAAACAATGTTCGTAAATAACAAAAAGTGAAAATAAAATGAAACAAGTAAAAGAAAAACAATATATATATAGATGTATATGCATATACATATATATATATTGACGATGATGTTGAAGAAAACAAAAAGAAGAGTTGATTTTACTTTTGGTTGGGTTTCTGCTTTCAATGGAAGCGTTCGCCCCGAAAGCTTTTCTGCTGAGCTGGTTGAAACGCGACCCGAACTCAGGGAATACAGTGGAAATCACGCGGCTCACTCCACACAGCGAATGGCAAACGGTTTGGTTTGGCAGCAAACGGGCGCACGAGATCAGCTCATGATACGACGTGGTCCAACATCAAAAATATAATAATTTTTATAAATCCAAAGGAATGTCCGTGATAAAACAATTCGGACGGCGTCAATTTCTCTGCCTGCTGGAACCGTGGACTTGCGTAAGTTTATTTTTATACAGAAAAGTGAAAAGGAATATGAGCTATTGTGCAATAAAGTTGTAATTTATCGTATGATTTGATTACAATTTATATGGTTGCACATTTCATTAGCTGAAAGCCGTAAATTTTGGTGAATGTACGCAAATTTGTAATCAATTTAAGCGGTGTTTAGTTTTTAGTACATTTACGTACTAAATTTCCCTGGTATGAGTGGACATTAAATATACAAGTATCATATTTGCTTTTGAGGATATTTGCACAAAAATTGCCTAGCTCGATTCTTCATTCGCGTAGCTAATTAACATTCAATTTATTTTAAGAAGCAATTTAGCTCAAGAACTTAACGACTTTTAGTCTTTAATGAAATAACATTAAGAGTCCTTGACAAGCTATAAATCCCTAGTCTACAGTAAATTTAGTTCGTACCTTTTATTGCCAATTGATCATGCTTCTAGTGCCTATTTGTATCAACCAATTAACCACAAAATTCCTTAACTACAATTGTCATAAATTCCACTAATCCCACTAAATTCGCGCTGATGAAAAGTCAACAGTAATTAAATTTCCCCAATAAAACTCTGATATGAAAATGTAGAACATAAAATTTTAATTCGAATAGCTTTATGATTTATGCATGTATACTAGTACACTAGCACTCGTATATACACTTAATTTATTTTTACGCAACATGTACATACATATATTTATTTATGTATACATGTATGTATGTATATGATATGAACATGTGCATATCTATAATTTTATACGCGGTAGTTGAGCTTTGAAAGTCTGATTGGCACGAAAACTAGTACTTTCAAATAGGAAAAAGTAATGTAAGCGCGTGTTAAATAAACTATTTTTATAAATATCTTATGACTAACAAACAAGAATTACAATGTCCAACATGTAAAATAAAAATATCGCGCTTAAAAGTATGCCACGAGTTAAATCCCGCCAATAGCCAGGGCTGCACAGTCAAAGCAAGCAAGCAGCAAAAACAAATACAGCATGCCAAACGTTTGCAGCAAACATAGAGTACACACATGCACGCATGTATGTGTGTACATATGCTTGTGGTTATTTATGAGCTTATACATGTGCATGTGCTCATTGTTAAGCAAATAGTTGATATCACTCTGTTTGAATAAAATTGTATGCGCAATACACGAGGCGTTGGTTTGTTGTTGTTTAAATCCCAAGCGCCTCGCCGCCAACAACAAAATGCGTGCTGCGGCGAATGCTGAGGGGGCGAATTGCGCTAACTGCGCAGTTGTTTAAAAATCTATTTTTTGCCGGGCTGCTGGTAGCTTAAGCGTGTGTGTGTGTGTGTTTATATATTTAAGTATGTATGTGTATATGTATGCTTATGTGTGCCTAAGTCTGTTGGCATAGACACAATGTGGGTTATGAGCCTCTGACACGCGCATAGTTTGAGAGGGGCAGCTAAACTTGTTGTTCGTGTTTCTTGTTATTGTTTTTGTTTACAGTTTAAATAATAGGCGGCGCCTCCGCCAACATGTGCCGGCCGGCATTTGGTATTTCCAGCAGTTCAACAAACCCCAAATAATAGATTCACAAAAAATACCTCAAGGTGAATCGCAAGAATTCGCAACAAACATTTCTTATCATTGACGGAGTCGATTAATTGAAAATCCTTTCAAGGTTCAACAACTGATAAAATAATCAAAATCAATCGTTACTATATTATTTAATGTTTATTGCATTTGATTCTTAACAACTAGAACTATAAATATTTAGTCAATGTGACTTAAAAAATAACAACAAACAACTATGTATGTATGTATATCTAGACAAACAGCTGAGTGGAAACTAAATATCAGTATTAATTAGTTGGTAAAGGTAGGGACTAAAGGTTGTTAACTAATAATGAGTTTTGGCAGTTGTTACTTGGAATAGGGTTAGTAGGGTTAGTAGACTCCATTTACAAGTCCAGTTGGAACTGTTCTTGTTCCTCAATTTTCAGCGATTGAGTTTTCTTGACCAGGTCGGTGGGCACGGGCACACACTTGCGGAAGGGAGTTCGAGGAGTGCCGCGCATCAGGCAGCTGGGGATGTTGCTGGGCGGAGTTTGACTCAGAGGAGAGCTACGCAGATTCTTCATGAAAGTACGTTCATAGATCAGCTTAGTGCCTGCAAGAAAAAAAGACCAGAGTGAACTATTAGGCGACATTAAAATGAGACTTGCATCAGACTCGTCCAGTACAGGTGATAAGGCTCATAGAAATTCTCATGAGTCACGGACGTGTGCGAGTGATCAGACTGAGGGTGATACTCTCTTATCACAATTCTTCAGCTGATTCAAAAAAACTGAAATATTTCATCAACTTACCGCCAGGTGTAGTGGAGTAGAGGGTGCCACCGGGCGTAGATGAATAGACCTCTGGCATCTGGATGGGGTCTGATATGACGATCTTCTTGGTCTTTGTCATCGCCATGGGCTCCGCATGAGATATGGCTTGACGAGCAGTAGGTGATGCAGACATTTTTATCTTATTGTTTTTTAAACTTTTAGTTTGTAGTAATAACGGTTGTAAATCGTAATCGAACGATTTTTGTTTGTTTACAAGAAATTGCGTTGCAGCTTTCTAGCTGTTGCTATCCCTTTCTCCTACGTTCCTAGTTCGCTTTGCGAGTCCAATTGACAGCAGACTTTGATGTGGGGTGCTATTTATACTGTGCGCTCTTCGCCTTTCAATCGTATCGCACGTAAACAAAGCAGAGAAACAGCGGCAAACACACGTTCCATTGAACGTCATTGCGCGAGCGCTCACCGCTCTCTCTTGCTACTCTTTCTACTCTCGCACGCTTACGCTCTCTCATTCTGGCTGTCCCGCTCTGCTTGCTCTTTCTGTTATGCTGTGTTCTACTTGCTCAAGCGTGCTAGCGCGTGTTGAATGAATTTAGTTGGAAATATTTTGTTGTTGTTGCTTGTTTTGTACAACGAAAGTGCTTAGTTTTGTGGTCTGTTTTTCAAAGGACGTTTGAAAACATATCTTGGTTAGGTGCTTAGGCTTCTCGCGAACAATCTTTATCTATGCGATACTTTGTTTACACATTCTTTGCTGTTTACTGTTATGTTAGCCATTAGCCGGTGTTGTTGGTCTTTTGTTTACAATTTCTTGCATAATAATTTAAATGCTGTTCTTTTATTGGGATTTAATTAGGCTGTTTAGCAAAGTGAATGAGGTTTGCTTAATTGTTTTACAGACAAACAAATTGCGAAAGCTGAAGTTATTAATTATTTTTATGCGATTATTAGAGTAGGATGAGAAATTTCAGAATATCCAAAATGCATATGCAGTATATCTTTTTGCAAACGAAATTTTTGATTGAATTCGTTAAAAAAAAGTTTTTAAAATATTTTTTGCTGTCTACAAAGATATACAATTATGTAAAGTTATATCCTGTAATTATTTTTATACACCTGTATGTATTTATTATATATCATAGACCTCTTAAGCATATTTTATAGTACAGATACTTCCTCGAAAGTTCGCGAAGACAGATATGTTATGTATGTATATAGTATGTACGCATATCTAATTAGGTGCAAAATATTTTATAGATCCTATAATTGAATTAACAAAATGTTTAAGCAACTTTATACACATCAAAGATAATATACATGTATGTATACATATACATACATACATAGGTGCACTATAAACTATATACACATGTATGTATGTATGTACACTGATTGCCATGATATATCTTCTACATATATGTATAGCATCTTCAAATTGAGCTTTTGATCTATATATCATATATTGATGTAATTGCAGGTCTGTATTTCTAGCCTCGCCACGTTTTATCACATTTCAGATATTCGGAAGAAATTACATTAAAAACATATCTTATCTAGCATATAAATTTAGATTCTTAATACATATCAGATAAATTTAAGTTTCTAATAGATAGCAGATAAGAGATGTGGCGTGTGGCATATGGCGAGCACTACACGCCTGTCTACATGAATGTGCGACTGATCTATGATGCTGATTTTGAATTCTCATATCTTTCAGAGTTTTATATTATTTTCACTACAAAATAGTACTAAATAAACTGAATTGATTTCAGTCAGATATACATATTTCTACTCTGGAAGATATAAAGATTATATATAGATCGTCATTTGACATTTCCTCTAAACATGTTGTCATCGTCTGTTTTTATGCATTTTGGTCACATGTGACTGGATCCGAGAAACTGGCTATAAACTGCGCAGTAGTTTCTCTACATCTTATGCCGGCCGGTAATATCGAAAGAAAGTTCAACAAACCCCCAATAAAATGTGATATATATATTCAATAATATATATATGAATATATGTACATATGTGCACAAAGCGCTGGTATATTAGCATCAAGGTGAAATAAGAAGTACTCAAGTGGCTTATAGATAACTTGATTAGTCAGCTTATGAGCCAAGTGCCTCAAGGTTTCACCAACTGATAAAAGAAATATAAATCATTCTTTGATTTCAATAATTTAAAATGTTTATTTTTATATTGCTTAGTGACTACAGTTATTAAATATATTACGTAAACAAATTCAATCAATATGACTGAGAATTAAACGAAGAACTTAGATATACGTGATGAGAGCTAACACTATAGCAGATCATTGATCTAGTGAGGTAATACGAGCTAGGTGAATGTGGCTAACTGATAGAAACATGAATTTTGGCAGTTGCTGCTTGGAATCAGGTGGCTCCATATGGAGACGGTTTACAGCTCCAGTTGGAACTGTTCTTGTTCCTCAATTTTCAGCGATTGAGTTTTCTTGACCAGGTCGGTGGGCACGGGCACACACTTGCGGAAGGGAGTGCGAGGAGTGCCGCGCATCAGGCAGCTGGGGATGTTGCTGGGCGGAGTTTGACTCAGAGGAGAGCCACGCAGATTCTTCATGAAAGCACGTTCATAGATCAGCTTAGTGCCTGCAATAAACAAAGTACAAAGTGAGCCATTATGCGACATTCAAACGAGACTTGCATCAGACAGGCGATAAGACAGCAGCACGAGCTCACAGAAGTTCCCATGAGTCACGGACATGTGCGAGTGATCGGACAGAGGGTGATACTCTCTTATCACAATTCTTCAGCTGATTCAAAAAAACCGAAATATTTCATCAACTTACCGCCAGGTGTAGTGGAGTAGAGGGTGCCACCGGGCGTAGATGAGTAGACCTCTGGCATCTGGATGGGATCTGATATGATGACCTTCTTGGTCTTTGTCATGGCCATGGGCAGCGCATGAGAAATGGCTTGACGAGCAGTAGGTGATGCAGACATGTTTTTATTGTTTAAAAACTTTCCGTTATTTTATTACAGTTGCACTTGTAAATCGTAATCGAACGACTTTTGTTTGTTTACACGAAATTGCGTTGTAGCTTTACAGCTGTTGCTAGCTTCGTCTTTCACTCTATGTTCTCCGTACTACGTCTTTGGTTCGCTTCGCGAGTCCAATTGACACCAAACAGCAATGGGCGCTGTATTTATACTGCTTGCGCTTCCTCTTTCCACACAGCTAGCGCGCAAACAAAACAAACTCACACACTCGCACACGATTACACATATACACAGTGCACGTTGTGCGCTCTCTCTCTGCTTCTGCTCTCTTCTCGCACTCTCACTACGGGAACGGGATAGCCGTCTGCTGATATTTGCTTCTGCTTCTGTTTCTGCTTTTGTTGTTTTTTGCCCGTTTTGTTTTCTACAAAATTTCTGCGTAGTACAGGTCGCATGTGGTTGTTGTTATTCTTTTGCATATACCGTTCAGTTGTTATTGTTTTTTTTTGTTTAATTCTATATCTTGCCAATTCAGACCAGACTGTTCGATTCGGTTAAGCAGCCTTGATCGAACGGAGGTGTGCTGACCGGTTCTAATCTGTTTATCATTGCTGTTTGTTTATGAGTATTTATTGGTCAAGAGTTATGTATGACTGTAGAAATGTGGAGATACATAAGAAAAAACTCGTCTTTGAAATAGCCAATATCGATATCGTCGCCATGACTCACGTTAAAAAAGAGCATGAAAATGCATACGTAACTACTTTGCATAAAGACACGTTGCCGGTATAATTGGCTGACGTATTAAAGGTAATATAACAATTAAATTCGGAGGCACGAGCCGGCGAAAAACAACATAACAACAACAACAACAGTTTGCGGGGGCGCCATTGACGACATTTTTAGACAGAAGCATGTAAATATTGTGCCAATGAATTCGACGTAGTTTGCCATTTTGGCCATTAGCCATAGGTAGGGAGAGATCATGTAATGGCGCCACGTGTAGGACCTCGGCTATAATGTGGGCCACATTCGCCTCCCACGATCATGCACAAGGTTAATGCTTAATCCACGTGCTCTTATTTATGTTCTCATCGGACATATCTGTGGCAAAGCACGCACTCACTTTCCCAGCTGACCTCGTTCTAAACATAGCTGAGGAAAATTTTGAATATTTTTTTTCCCCCGCCCCACAGTTTTCTGCACCTGTGCAATTAACCTCATTCGTTGCTCTTTACGGGGCAGTTCTATCCAACCATATCTATGCCTGAAAGTTGACCCCCAAAAAATTCAGGCGATAAACGCATTACATAGAATGAGAACGACAAAACTTGCCGTGTCATCCCGCACGTAGACCCCAGCATAACTGACAAAAAACCGCCTTACGTGCGGGTGTGGGCCTACAACAGATTATAGTGGCCTCTCTTTCTCTCCAATGTCAGAATATCGCATACTCTCCCTTTTACTTATTGCGAGCATAAGTCGTTCTCTCTTGCGCCTTATCAACCCTTGTGGCTCAACGAGTTTTTCGAGTTTCTCAGTTTGTTTGTACCTGCGCAGTAGCTAAGGAAAATTGCGTCGTGCGTCGCGCCCACAGGTAGGATGTGTTTAGGCTAATCCCTCGTAGCCACGCCATAGACATACGAAATGTGTTTATTTTGTTGTCGCCAAAATTCGGTATGGCTGATGAAATTGCGCGATGTCATTTCAGCAGCTCTCTTAAGTACAATCTAGACAAACACACGAATATATACATATATATTAGTATATATTCGTACATATATATTTATACATGTGTATGTGTACAGAATTAGCATCTTAATTTAGCTATTTCTATTCAATGATAGTTTCTCATGAATGAAGCGCGAGCGAGCTCTCGCCTTAGCCTAGGGTCGAGTGCGTTTGAGAGGCATCTGAGCAGCAACAAGTGTCGGGTATGATAGAATTTTGTGTACCCTATATTAAGTAGCTTTTGGCGTTATTAATGATTTACTCAATAATACCCAACATTACCCAATAATAACAATTATTATTTATGATATGGGCTTTTCTTTAACGTTATTTTTGTAGACATTTTCTTTTTGCCTTAATTTCTTATTTATTTTCTGATTCCAGTTACTCTATCATTCAGACTGCACTTCAACTTATCAATTTAGATGAAATTTAACATTTATGTTTGTGTGTCTGGTCTATTCATTCCAGTCACATTTGTCATAATGGTATTTTTTCAGCCGAAACTCTGATAAGAATTGTAAACAACAAATATGAATATGAATCTATATTAGACTATTGTCAGATAATATTTATAAAGTAAATGACTTTTTCATATTTTTCGCTAACAATTTTAAAATACTTTGGGATTGATAATCATAATAAATTATTATTATTTTTTGTTTTTGCATATTTCAAAATATTTTATGTTACGAAAAAATTATTTAGAAAAATAAGAATAAGCGAACAAGTAAATTGAAAATATGGATTAGCTCATATAAATGGCTTTAACTATGCTTCAAATATAGGGTATACGAAAATGCTGTTTCTCTGCTCTCTACCAACGTCGATGACCCAGAAAAATAAATGTGCTTAAATACATACATATTTATATATACAGACATATATGCATATTCATGCGATATAAATATACAAACGTCTAGAAACCAGAAAAAACATCTGCATTTGCTTATATTTTGAATGTGTATTTAATTTTGAAAACAACAAACCGAATCAGTTGACTTTGTTTATGCGAAGTAAGAAAAACAAAGGTAGAAATAAAACCAAATAGGAAAAATATCGTAAACAAGAGTCCCGAAAAATATACACAATGCAATAGGCCTATAAATCAGTTCTGGTTATCAGCGGAGCTTTCGAATTTCGGCGCCAAGTGAAACGATCTAATCGAGGCTTAACGCCGCATTCAGACTGCATGGCACGTATTTTTTTTTTTCTCTCCTTTTCAAATTGCGCCAATTTAATTGAAAATAATCTGCGCAATGACGAGCTCATAATTTCAGATGCAGTTCAATAGCCCAAAGTTGAGATAACTCAAAACTGATGTACATATTTTTCTAAAGAATTGTTATAAAATAATTTGAAGTGCATCGAAATAACAAGTTCAAACTTTGCATATATGTATGTATAATCTTTATATTTCAATCTGAGGGGAGGAAGAGGAGGAGAAATAATTCTTGATTAACCACGCCCCAAGTGAGTGTAGTTTTAATATTTTCATTAATCTTAAATATTAATCTTTATGTATATTCATCTCAAATTCAATTCACATCCAGCTTGACGTAAGACAGACAAACCTTGCACAGCTGCCCAGTAAACCCGTTGGTATCGTATATAAACGAATATAAAAAATTAAATAAAACTATATTCTTTATTTTTCTATCTCGCTTTCATCTTTGCATAGATCAATAATGCATTCGAAAATTTGTAAAAACAAAAGCAAAAGTAAAATGCTAAAGAAACTATGGAAATTTTCGCATCTCGATGTTGAAACCTTCGAAACGATCAATGAACTTTTTCTCTTTTTCTCTTTTCTTGTTTTTTCTTTTTCTCTTATACTTTTAAAAAATTTTTTTTTTTTTTTTTCTTTTCAGGCGAGTTTCATGAACTTATTGGATGAACTGTTTTATTGCCTTCCTAGAATCGATGACGATGTCTGACAAAAAAAGTAAATAAATAATAGTAATTCTTTTTCTTTATTGTTTAAGCTTCCTTTACGTTCTTTTCAATATTCACTTAGAGCTAAACTTAATGAAAGTTTAATGAAAAGAATTATAATTGTTGCTCCATTTCCTGTTTAAACTAAAGTGATTAAAGTACGGATGCATGAAATGTTGAAAATTTTTGGTTTTGTTGGACTGTATGTATTCAAACATATGGTAAAAAATGTATTTTCCTACATCTGATGCGATGCTGTTATTCACACAAGCAATACGCCCTATTGACTCATTTGCATTCTACTTACTTGTATTGCATATTTGTGACACTAGACCTATACCTTAATTAATCAGCTAGCAGATCTTACATTAATCACATTACCATTTGTATTTCAATTGTGCAAAAAGTAATCGCCGCTCAGACCCCTTATCGCATATTGTTTGCGCGAGTCTAAGCCAGGCAGCAGTACTTCAACGCTTTACATAAGATGCTTAACTGAATGTTAACTGTTCCTAAATGATAAATGCATTATTTTTAATTACGTCGTAGTATTAAGAAATATTTGTGTTTGACATGAATTCGATTTTCTCTTTCGATCGGCTCATTTGTAAGAAGATAAGATATAGAGATGAAATATGTACATATGTGTAACAAAATATTCTTTGTTACGAATGAAGAGGAAAGAGAAACAAGTTCAAAAAATTGTGGTGAATAACGTGCTTCATTACCAACTGATATATAATGCATTAAATACATAAGTTGCATTTAAAATTCTGAAATACTTTTTATGCCTAATAAAATTAATTTAAAATAAGCAAAGCGGGCTGCTGCTAGCGCCATCTAGTGCTATAAACGAACAATGTAGCGATTCTATCGATAACACAGCGTGGCATAGCATACACATCGATCGCATAATCGGTAGTTAATTTTTTTTGGCGGGAGGTGTGCACACTCTTTTGCTTTGCGCTGGGATTTGTAAAAATTTCGTTTAAATAAAATATTTTAAAAGAAATAAGTAATGGATCTGAACGATGCCGTGTTAACATGCGCGGTGAACATACACTGGACGAATGCGGTGGGCATAACGGGCCGTAAGCTGGCCTACCGCACAGCGACGTTGCGTCTGGTGCGCAACGATTTGCGCGAAATGTTTGTTGAAGTGACGCCCGAGAAGCTGAAGCCGCTCAAGTTTAAGCTAAAGGACATAATGGTGCACAAGAAATTCATGGCCGAGGGCAAGGCGACGTTCAACTTCAAGGCGGAGAAGTGTGCTATTTATCTGTCGAATGCGCCTCCCGGCACCTTGATGCTCTTCCTGCGCACGATTTTCATCAAAATGAACGGCGAGACGACGCCACAGGACGACGCAGCCATGCAAAAGAAGCTGCGCGAGCATATGCTGAGCTCACGGCCCAGCACCTTTGAGGAGATCTCCCCAGTGACCACCGCCGAAATGGTTTTGGCGCGCAAAAAGGCGGGGCTTATAACGCGTGGCAGCACGACGACGCCCTCGCCCCAGGCCACCAAGAAGCGACGCTACGACGAGCTGAAGGAGGACAAGAGTGGTGTGCCAGCTGCCAAAAAACTGTATCAGCCCTCACCTCTGGCCAACAACACGGAGTCGGAGGATTCGCTACGTCTCAGCGCCGAGCAAATGGAAGTGCTGCGCGCTTGCACCTCGGGCAAGAACGTTTTCTTCACCGGCTCAGCGGGCACGGGAAAAAGTTTTCTGCTACGCAAGATCATCTCGGCGCTGCCGCCAGATGGCACCGTGGCCACTGCATCAACAGGCGTGGCCGCTTGCCTCATAGGTGGTACCACGCTGCACGCCTTTGCTGGCATAGCTGGCGGCGATGGCACCTTGCAACGCTGCATTGAGTTGGCGTCTCGTCCTGCAGCAGCGCAAACCTGGCGCAAATGCAAGCGACTGATCATAGACGAGATCTCCATGGTGGATGGACAGTATTTCGAGGTGAGTTATGCTAAATATATGTAACTAATTATACTTTATGCATGCAGAACACATTCTTTGCAATTCCATTTTCCATTGATTTCTGACAAACATAATTTTGCATTAGATTTGATATATTTGAATCCTTAATTCTTGCAGAAAATCGAGGCTGTTGCTCGTCATGTGCGCCGCAACGAGCGACCCTTTGGTGGCATTCAGCTCATACTTTGTGGAGATTTCTTGCAGCTGCCACCTGTAATCAAAGGGGAGACAGGTGTGCAACGCTTCTGCTTCCAGTCGAGCGCCTGGGAGAGTTGCATTCAATGCGTCTACGAGCTGAAGCAAGTGCATCGCCAATCGGATCCGGAGTTTGTGCAAATACTCAATCATCTGCGCATTGGACATGTGAATGAGAGCATCTCGGCGAGATTGGTGTCCACGTCCAAGCAGAAGATCGAAGGCAATGGGATTTTGGCCACACAGCTCTGCTCACACACGAACGATGCGAACTCCATAAATGAATCGAAGCTGGAGAACTTGAGCGGGGAAAAAGTGCTCTTCCGTGCAGAGGATTCGGATGCATATATGAGCAAGCAACTGGATCAGCAGGTGCAGGCGCCGGCTCAGCTCTATCTGAAAGTCAACGCTCAGGTCATGCTGCTCAAGAATATCAACATAGCCAATGGTTTGGTCAACGGTGCACGCGGCGTCGTTGTGCGCATTGAGAAGGGTTTGCCCGTGGTGCGCTTTAAGAACAATCAGGAGTACATATGCCGGCAGGAGAAGTGGATCATTAAGACAGCGACAGGTGGACTGGTGACACGTCGCCAAATACCGCTGAAGCTCGCTTGGGCCTTCTCCATACACAAAAGTCAAGGATTGACGCTTGATTGTGTGGAGATGTCACTGTCCAAGGTCTTCGAAGCTGGCCAGGCTTATGTAGCACTATCCAGAGCTAAATCGTTGCAGTCTGTGCGAATTCTGGACTTTGATGCCAAGCAGGTGTGGGCCAATCCGCAGGTGTTGCAATTCTACAAGAACTTCCGCAGGCGCCTGATCGACACCAATATGATACCGCTTGGACCCAGGAACAAGGATAAAAAACCTGGCGAAAGGGAAGCAAACAGCGCTTTGGCCAAGCTCAAAAAGAGCTTAATGAACAAGCCACTCGTCTCAATTAGCTAATTTAAGTTAGGAATTAATCTAGTTAAAACTATTTCATTGAGCGCAAGGGTTTCGATTTTGAGGGAGCTAAAGGCTAAGGGCTTCCTTAAGATCCGAATCCTTGCTATATGTTTAACTTATTTATGAGGTTGGTCTGAAAATGATGCGACCTTAACATAAATAGCAAGATTGATAGTTAATTAATCATTTCTTATGGAAAGAGCCAGCATTGTTTCAGCCTACTCTCGTATGATACTGCCACAGCTCTTAAGACTTAAACAAACCTTGACTATATTTTGTTTTAAGACAACCCAATCCTTACTTTAGCTATATTCCTTTCATAACGCTGTACTTAATCTTAACATATCCAAGAACGTTTATTGAACATTTTGGAATGTTTAAGATTGAATAATATTGAGACTGTAATCAAGAAGCAGTAAATTTGCTATCTAGAATTAATGCTAACCAGATAACGAAAGTTCTAGATGTCTAAAAAATTGTGCATGTTTAATTTAAGTTGTCCTGACTAGCAAATATCTTTTACTATATCTATACAACAATATATATCTATATAGAACAATACGAATATATTTCGAATCTAAGCTCTATAAACGGCGATCGCATAACTTAACTATATAAACGAAGATTTCAAGAACAAAGCAAGAAGTGTATGGAAATATATTATTAATTTCGTTCTATGCCACGATGAATTTTCTAAATTCCGTCCTTAAATTTCCACCCGTTCGTGTGAGGGACCAAAATGTCCTTTTATGAAGGTCAACAGAAATTGATATATATTCTATACATATTCTTGTAAAATAGTTGTAAAATTGTAATTTATTTAAAATATAAATTATATAAAACAGAAACAAATAAACTTTGATGGCAATAAACAACAAATTTTTATAAAACTTAAAAATTGGTTTAATTTCTTCAGGAGAAAAAACCTCTCATATGGTATGCAAATGTGTCATAATAACTGCTGTTAAAGTTACAAGAAAAAAATATTTTTCTCAAATTTTGCTTCGGCCGCTGCAAGATTTTTATAAAAATTTCAGCTGAAGTACCAGGCGAACAGAAATCGCAGAAGGCAACTGCAAAATTTGCTATGGCAATTTTTTGTTGCATACTTTTAGTTGCCGGCGAAATTGCGAGCGCGTAAAATTCCATTGCGTGCAACTAGGCATAAATAAATTCGAATGTGGAAAATTTCCATTGCATACTTTTAGCTGCTTCGATATTAGACAGTAGTGAATATTGTGTGCAAATTTAAAAGATTACTGCTTTTTACTCTCTGGGTATATATCTGAACTATCTGCATATATTTTTTTATTAAATTATTTCTCATGAGTGATCAAAGAGGCTGTTCTGAGCAGTTTCGACTAATTACAAAAATATTCGCGAACTAGAACTAATGCAACTATTTTGGCAGATTTTTGTTTGAAAGACTTATGTATGGCTCGATAAAAGCTTTGTGGACTACATAGTTTGTATTATAGACGTGTTAGCTAGATATCCATGCCTCTGCGAGCATATTTAAGGGTTGGCTTTGTAAAATACATTCCAGCTTGCTTTTATATACACCAATTCTATTTTCATGTGGCATTCCAGAAGTGCACCATTTACGACATATATATATTAGCCTCAATTTTTCTACATTTTTCAGGTGTGTATATTTGATGTAAATCCACGAACATTTGCTTGGTGTGTTGGAAAATTGTTGCACGAAATATTTCTATTTAGTGGGCAGGTATTTGCTCGTCATCCTTCATGCCGCTGCCAACGGGTCCGTGGCGACGCTCCCAGATCAAACGATGCTTCTGCTTCATTAAAGCGGTCTTGGCATTGGCATAGCCGCCCAAATCGCCATCTGCAAGGATATAGACAAAATGTGAGCAAAGATTAAAGATTCACTCTTTAGCTCTCTCAATGTGATATGATTCCTACACTTGATAAACCAATTCTCGGCAGCTTGCTGGTACTGATCCATCAGCGGCTTGCACTTGACCATGTGATCGGGTGCCTCGTACAAGGTGCAATCCTCGAAGCGTTGCCGCAGGATATTCAAAATCTCATTGTCCACCATGCGATCGCGCCGGAATTGCTGATCCGCCTCGAAGCGACAGACGGCATCGTCTGTGTAGCACTCATCGATGGTAGGCACGCGGCGAAAGCGCTGATGATACCAGTTCGATTTCTGTTGGTTCGGCTCCACAATTGTCTCTTCGCATGTAAACAAAAACAAAGCCGACATTAAATTTGAGGTTATGTCATTATGTAATTTCATAAATTGCATATTAAAAAGTATTCAATTGTCAATTGCTTGTATTTTCTATTGCCTGCTTTCTGCACTCACTGCAAATGCAATTTGCATAATAATTTTGTATTTTTATTTACCGCGAAACCAGGTAATTGGTCCATCGATAGCATTTTGCACGGATTGTACAAAGCTGGCCATTGGGCTGCGTGGCTCCGGCATTTTGTTGCGTCTTCTAACTGCAAGTGTCGGAAAACACAATTAGTACTGCTTTTGTATTTTATTTCTCAGTAATTTATGCTTTTTCATGCATTTTCTTCGAGATTTACCCAAATTTCAATCAGCAGCTAAAAACAAGAAACAGCTGTTCGCAGCGCAGAGAGTTGAGCACTAGTGTGCGAAGAGTGTAACACTATATGTTTTTCACTAGCTGGCAGCACCAATTTTGCGCGCAACCAACTTTAAGTGGCTCAATTTTGCGTCCGATAGTCATGTTCGATTTCTGTCGATTTGTAGTTGTCGATGAATCGCAAGTTGCCCTGTTGCTATTTGTATAGACACATGTTGCTGCGAGATGACAGCATGTGCAGCATGGTGCAACATTCTAGATTGCATAGCAACATTACTCTTAACGAGGGCTAAAATGAAAGTTGTAAGAACCTTTTTTGCAATTTATTTATAAATATTTTATTTTCTGCAAATTAAAGCTAGTTTGATTGATTTTTTTTATATCAATCAAATAATATTCAGTGTCGCTGTCATACATTAAACTTGACCAATATTCAATAATTAATGCAACGATCATTTTAAAAGCTTCTATACAGAACCAAGAATGTGTCTGTGTTATTGTTTTTTGGCTTTGCAAATTCGCCTCTGAGATGGAAGAGAGTGGCCGCCAAATGCTGCAGAGCAAATGGTGGTTGGCTGTGCTTTGCCAGAGAGACCAGCCGTCTGTCTTTTGTATCTGCAAGTTTAAAGAGCGAACGAGTGGGAGAGCAATGCGAGAGAGTGCGCGCGAAAAAAGATACGTCTGCGGTGCGCTCTTTGCAATTGCCGCTACGCAGCGAATACATTTCAACAGTTTTGTGGCGGTCGTCAGAAAGCTCGCACGTGCGAACGCGTAACGGCAAGTTCGGTATTAGCACAACTATAACGACACAGCAGCAGCAGCAACAACAACAATAAAAGCGTTGAGCGCAGCAGCAACAACAACAAATCAAAGAAACAAAACGAAAACGTAAACGCCGTGTATTTTGAGTGCGCGGCTGCAGAGTGCAGGCTTTATATACATATATTTGCGTGTGCGTGTGCGTGCGCGCGTTTTAGTGTGCGTGAGTGTGATAGTTCGTGTTGTTTTTATGGTGGCAGAGGAGCCAGCCCAAAGAGCAAAAATTCCTAAATAAATATTCCAATAGAAGCATGCAAAAATAAGAATTAATTAAGATACGACAACAGCAAGAAGAAATAAAGAAAAGAAAAAATTAAATAAATTCAAATAGTTTATAAATAGTGCACAAACAAGGCGGCTCGCAATTCACAATTGTCAGGCGGCGGCGTCGGCGTCGCAGTCGAAGTCAACGCACGCCTGTGTGAGTGCCGCTCAGCCAATCTATCTCAGTGTGCGTGTGTGTGTCTGTGTGCGCGCGTCAGTGTGTGTGCGGCCGGTGTGCGTCCGTGTCTGCCGGCCTGCGTTTTCGTCTGTGCCAGCGTCTGCTCTGCTCTGCTCTGTATCTCCGTATCCGTCTCGGCAGCGTCGCCATGCGTCGTGCGGTTAAATATTAAGCATACGAAGTGGAAATTAATTTATGGCAAAATTTAATAATAAGTGAGTGCCACAACAACAACAACAGCAACAACAAGAGCAACCAAAGTCATAGCAGCAGCAGCAACGACAGCAGCAGAAAATATATTAAGACAACAATTTCGAAAATATTGTGCACGTCGCCTACAGCGACGTCAGCGTCGACGTTGACAGAGCGCAACACGCGCGCCTTCAAAACATACTCACACACACATAGGCAAATATACATATGCAAATGCATGTAAAAGCTAGCGGCGCATAAAGCGCCAAGCAGCGCAGCGCCGTCGGCAAATGCAGCAGCGCCTAATTTGAAAGAAAGAGAAAGATAGTGAAAATAAAAACCGGAAAAATGCGCGAAATAAAATGAAGTTCAACAAATTGTGCCAAATTGTTAAAGTTCTAAACAAATAAAACGAAAAAAAAAAAAATATTGGTAAAAATTTAATTGTAATATTGAACGAAAATGTAAAAGCTCGCCCGACAGTTTATTGTAGCAGCAGAAGAAACAACGTCAATAAAACATAGAGTGAACTATCGAGCGTGTTATCGATAACTGTGCGATGACCGAATACGTAACGCCGATGATCAGCAGCGTGCTGAAAAAGTACCAAACGAGCGCTACGAAAAGTTTGCAGGGCCCCGCCGTGGCGCTAATCAAAAAGGAAATAAGCAGCTCACCGGAACCACATGACCTGCACACGCATGAGCCGGCAAACGCCACAGCTAGTTCCGCAGCTCACAGCGAACGGAACCAACAGATATACGCAGCGCCGCTGCCGCTGCCGCCAGAACTGTCACAGCCCATCCTAACGCAGCCGGACACCGACTGCGGCGAATTGTATGAGACGCGCTTGGAGGGCAAGGCGATTGGCTGCTTCTCGATGGGCGGCGAAATGCGTTTGTGCTTGCCGCAATTTCTGAACAATGTGCTCAGCGATTTCACTTTAGATCAGATCAATGGCATTTTCGAGGATCTGGGCATCTCCTGTTCGCAGTGCACGCCCGAACAACTGGTCGAGTTCAAGGCCGCCAAGATTTTGCCATCGGATGTGAAGGGCAGCGGCCTGATCACACGCACCGATGCGGAACGCCTCTGCGCCGCTCTCCTGCATCGCTCCGATCGGAACAGCTATGTGCCCGTCGAGAGCCTGGGCAAGGGCGCCCTCAGCTTTCAGGTGTATCACAAGTGCTTTGGCAAGTGCGAGGGCATCTGTACGCCGGATATGTATTCGTATCAAAAACCGACGTGCATTCAGTGTCTGGAATGCAATTGCTGGTTTTCGCCGCAGAAATTCGTGGGTCATGTGCATCGCAAGGTGGAGAATCGCACCTGCCATTGGGGCTTCGACTCAAGGAATTGGCATGATTACCTTCATGTGGCGCTCGATGTCGAGAATCGAGAGAAATATCAACGTATTTTGGATCAGCTCAAGGAGGTGGAACTCAAGGAAATGCACAAGGCGCAATGTGAACTGGATCACAAGAAACGAAAGGTAAGAGCAAAAGCGAGTCAATTAGATAATAATACAATAGATAAGTGAACTTGTTCACTATCTTCTTATACAAGCAGTTGAATTTGAGAAGAGCTTCAATTCTAATCAGTTCGAATTCAAGCAAATTTCTAATATGAATACAAGCTTTATAGCTGCCAAATTGGGAAAGTCTTATTGGCAAAAAAAAAAAAAAGATTGCAAATTTTACACAACACGCGCATTCGCTCTAAATACAAATGTTTCACGCATTTTCGCATTTCACGCATTTTAATACCGTTAAAGCTTTGACAAGAAAAAATAAATAAAATTAGGTTGGCCGCTGTTCCTCTAATTATGTTTCAGGTTGGGCTCTCAATTCGCTCGCCTCCAATCAGAAATGAAAAGCGCCGTCGCTTGCTTCACACCTTCGGCTACTGCAGCGCCCACTGGCGGCGTTTGAGGCGGCGCCATATTTGGTTGTCATTGCTGCTGTTCTTCTTCTTCTTCTTCTTCTGCTTCTCGTTGTTGTTGTTCTTTTATTCTCATTCACATTTCGCATTCAATTCGATCTTCTTTAACGACATTTCGTCGCTTGCGCGCCCGTTAAAAACTCATAAAAATACAAAAGGCGAAGTCAAATGCTGTGTGAGAGTGATAGCAATATCGTATTTGCGGCAGCGTGACTGAGTAGCACACACATATAAATGCGCAGCATTTAAAATTATGCAAATATTATAATATAGTATGAGTGTGTGAATGCGAGTGAGTGTTTTTTTTTCTTAAATGTATTCTTATATATGTATATATTTAAATGCCAGTGCAATGTGCTATCTCTTTCTCTACTTCACTGCAAAAAAAAAATTGCTGTTGATCCGGCCACGTTCGTTTTTTTTTTTTTGTTGTGTTTATTTATTTAAACTACTTAATTTTATGCTTAAACAGCGCACTCGATTTTTTTGTTGGATTACAATAAATACCAGAGTTTTTTTAGCTGTTGGTTTGGCCCAAAGTTATTTTTTTTTGTCTTACTGCTGCTTGCAGCCAGCGCGTCTGCTGTGGCCGTGGCGGTGACGGCAACGACGTCGACGTCGGCGCTCTGCAGCGACGACAAGTTGTCTCTGCTGCTGACGTCTGTTTGCTGGCAAACAGCAAAGAACAATGACGAACGTTGATTATTTTTAGTATGTGCGGCGACAATTGAGTTGTCAATTTAGTTGAATCGATCAAAATAGCGTAGAGCAGAAATTAAGAGCAAACGAGAGAGCGGAAGAGAGCGAAGGCGCATGCAGCTTCTGAGGTCCTCTCTCCCTCTCTCTCTCTCTCTCTCTCTCTGTTGCTCTCTTTGTATTTAGCCAATTAACTCCTTAGGAACAGCATATTCTTATGAATTTAAACTCGATAGCAAATTGATCGATACTCAATTTTGGTTTGCACTGATTGTGCTTTTGAGTAGCTGTTTTTTATGTTTTGCTTTATTTATTTATTTATTTTTTTTTGCTTGTCATTGTTGACTGTGCTTTTTTCGATTCGCACCAGACTCAATGTTAAATATTCAGCAAATATGTAATAATAACTAGCAAAAGGGTTAACTGAAAGAGCCGGCGGCATAGCGCAGTGCAGGGATAGCAAGGGCAAAAATAAATCGCAAACCGGTTGACGATTGTCTGCTGCTGTTCGCTCTCTTTGCCGGTCTCCCGCTCTCCCGCTCTCCCTCTCTCTATTCGACTTTGTTGGGCTGCCTCTGCTGCTGCTGCTGCTCTTGTCTGGGCCGCCGCGCAGTCGCAGCAATGCCAATAGCCAGCGGCGTTTCGTTGCGCAAAAAAGGAATACGCAAACATTTTGTTTGTATGTATGCAACAATAACAAGCAAAAGCAAAGGCAGAAGACGCGGCGGCAGACAGCGCTGGCTGTAGTTACCGCAGAGCGCCCCCAAACGGGCGCAGCATGCAAACAAAGTTGCTTTCAAATGCCAATGAACGTGATAGACGACGATGACAGCAGCAGCAGCAGCAGCAGCAGCAACAACAACTACAAAGACAATAACGACGCCTCTGACGTTGTCACGAGGCGCAGACATTGACTGAGCAGTCGGCAGACCTTTTTATACATGTGTATGTAATTGTGTTTTGTTTTTCTTTTTCGCCCTTCGCAGAGTTGCGGCTGAGCTTTTGATTTTTTTTTGGTTTTTGGTTTGTATTGGCGCCTATGTGTGACTAATCAAGTTGGCAGCCCTCGCAGTCGCAGTCGCAGTTGCGTCGCCTGTTGACTTTCGCTGCCTGCCTCTGTCTCTCTCACTGTATTTCTTTCGCTCCGCTACTGCTTCTGCTGCTGCTGCTGCTGCTTACATAACCGCCAAAGTGTTTTTGCACTCAAGAATCTTGAAATGCGCAAAAAAATATTATTTTTGGGAGCAAATTTCATGTTTTTAAATTCAGTTCCAACTGGTTTTGCTGTTGTTGATGCTTGTCATAAAAATAATCAAAATTTACATACAATTTAATCTTTAAATATATGTATATATGTAAATGTGTGAGTTCTCGTGCTGTTTATTTTGTATACAAATTTAGTTTTAGTTAATGTTTTGCTTGCTTTTTGTTTGTTTGTCGCTCTTTCAGCGTGTTTTTCTGGTCATATTCATGGCACGTTCGTTGTTCTTGTTGTTCTTGTTGTTGTAATCCATATATTGGACATACATACATTTATCTTATCTCGCTCACACCCAGCCTGATAACTCAGCGAAAAGTTTAGCTGACCACGTTTCGAGTTGCCAAAAAAAAAAAAAAAAAAATATTAATATTAAGACAAAGGGCGAATAAATACGAAAAAAAAACAAACTGTATGTAGTCAGGGTTAAGCGCAGTTGATAAGATCGACCAATCGCTCACAGCGCAAAGCTCTCCTTGTGACCAGCAAGCTGACACGTGTTCCCTTTCTCTCTCTCTCTCTCTTATCCTCTCACTTCTCCTCCCCCTCTCTCTATCTGCTTCTTTCTTTGCTTCGTCTTGTGCTTAGCTAATTGGCGTATCATGCTGAATTCGTTTGCAATTAAATTCGCCTTGGATTTCCCCAAAAAATATTTCAAATATTTTAGTGTCGCCGTTTTGAAATAGTTCATGTGCACAGATCATGTTAACTATTAGCTCGCCAGTTCACAGCTTGAACCAGTTATTAAGCAGGTGTTTTCAATAAGCCTTATCTGCCACCCACAAAATCCGAGTCTTTGGACTTTATATATGTATATATAAAAGTGCTTATACTGTATGCATATGATTATTAACCCCAGGGATTTGCTTCGCTGAGCTTGTTGTTGGCCGAGCTGACAGTTGGCGATGTGATAAGCGCGATAAGCTCGAGAGATTGAGGTTTTGTTCTTGTGTTGCTGAATGTTTTTTTCTCTCTCTCTCTGTTTTTGCAAAGCTTCGCCCTCACCCTCACTGGTTGATCTAGTAAAAACCCGCTGGCTAGTCTCGAGACCTCCTTGCATCATCATCATCATCATCATTATCATGATCATCATCAGCATGTCATGTGATGTTCGCTAGCTTTGCTTGTTTTTGATACCCTATGCCCATTCAAACAGAGACAGGCATAATGGGTAGTTGTGCAGTATTATGTGAAGATCATTTGGAATTACTGTGAGAGTTTGGTGATAGACATTCTATTGGTAATCTTAATACTATTAATATTAACATGCAATATTGAATATTCATGAAAAATCGATGTTTATATTTATCGATAACAAATTATATTCATTTATATAAATATTTAATGAATATATAAACTGTGCTCGGACCTTAATGATTAGTTAAGAACATTTGATAGATCGTTCGAACATTTTGTACTTCTCAATAATGCTAGTCAGTATAATTACTCTCAAATCGATAAATATCGACTTTCAAGGCCGTGCTAATTTTCAGTATTTGCCTACAGGTCATCTCATAGTCGTTCATTCTTTGCTCCAACAATCTCACTGCTGCTTTTCTAATATGGTTTATAAGACTAAAACTCAGACAGGCAGACAGATCGCGGCACAAAGGCAAAGTCTGTGGAGGTGCGGCCGGTTCTAGGCTTGAGCTTGTGCTTGTGCTTGGGCTTGGGCTTGGGCTCAAGTACAACTATGAGTACTGAGTACTTGCTTGTTGCTTGTTGTTGTTCTTGTTGTTGTTGTGACTGTTGCTGGGACAGGTGTGTGCCTGGTTGGTGCCTCGAGTCTGCCGGACAGCGTTTAATGCGTCGTTTATCGTTGATCTTAAATCTAAATAGTTTTCGAGTTGCTTTTGTTGTTGTTATGGTTGTTTTTGTTGCACTATCATTGGCGGCCTCCAGGCAGACTAGACCCAGAACCAGACGCAAAAAAAAAAAAAAAAAAAAATACCGTCTTAAAGCGTCTGCTCACATCTGCTCCTCTCTCTTTTTCTCTTTCTCTCTCTCTCCACTTAGCAAATATTTGAAAAGAAAAAAATTCATTCTCATGTTGATTTTAATTAAGCCCAATGATTAAATTTGAACGTTCGACCGTTTTTATTTGCTTATTTTTTTTTTTCATTTTATTTTTGTTGTTGCTAATGATATGTGATGTGTTGTTGTTGTTCTTTTAGTTGTTGTGTATCGGTTTTCAATTGATTTGAGAAATTCGTGTTTATTTTTTTTTCGCATTCACACAAATTAGTGAAAATATTTAAATAACCGAAACGTGTTTCCAAATATTTTTGCCTACACATATAGATACAGATGCGAGGTATATACATATATATACATATATATATATATAAAGAAATATATGTATATATTTTTATATATATCTTCTTTTTTTATGGAGGTGCAAAACTGTTATGTAAATATATTGTCAACGATTCGTTTGTTATTGCACCTATTATTGGCATCGTTAGAGCGGTATCGGTCGGAGATCGTTGTTGGTGTTGCCTCTTCTAAATTACAGCAGAAATTTGTATTGAAAATATTTCTTGTTGATAAGAAGTTTTTTTTTTTTTTTTTTTTTTTTCTAATGGCATGCTTTAAAT